ATCGTAATGGTTTATAACACTTTTGAAACAATCTGGGGAACAAATAAAACTCTGTCTCTTTATTATGGATATTCTGTAAAATTTCGAAAATAGTTTCGAAATTGCATTTTCTTGAAAAATTTTGGTATTTTGTGCTTGAAATATTCTGGCTTTTGGAATTTTAGGCTGAGATGGTTGTAGTATAAAATGTGTTTTTTATAAATACAAATCTAAGGAATTGAGTTACATGTTCAAAATAACTTAAAATATAATTTACAATATTGCTATTATGGCTAACTGTTATACATTTTTAATGGTATCAAAAGCGAATAAGTAATTTTAGCTCATTAAGTTTAATTAATATCCAATGATTTTTTTTTTATTAAAATAAATTTAATTATCTTACGTGATTCTTGAATGCCAAACAAATATAATAAAAATTGATTTGGGATTTACTTTTATAATTGGATTTGAGCACATTTATAATAAATTTTAATTAAGATGAAACTTATTTTATAATTTGTTATACAACATTTTGGGATTATACTTTTGTATAGTATTCTTGTACGTGATTTCCCAAAGCTTTTGTTTTCGCTAAAAATCCGTTTAAATGCATTTTATTTAGTCCATTAGTAAAAGTAGTTGTGAAAATATCTTTTGTGAAATTTCTCTTTCATAATATTTTTCTTATAAAATGATTTTGATGGCTGAAAACTTCTAAGAGGAAACAGAAGAAAAAAATTCTAGTAAATTAAAAATATTTATCGATGTCAAAAATATGCTAAAATTTGAGATTCACTTGTATTCTTGTTATCCTTACTATCCTATATCGTAGCTTAAAATTTAAGAAAACAGTTTTTAATAAATTAGAACTGAATCACTCGCTTTACCCTATTTTTAAAATCGTTTAATTTTTTATTCATATAATTTTTTTTTTAAATTTAAAAATAAAATAAATAAAGAGCTATAAGAGTATATAAAATGCAAATTTTTCAAGATTATTTGTTAATATTACACTCGCACGAATGAGTTTTCAAAATGTATTATAAATTTATCACTCTGTTTGTAATGCTAAAAAATAGACGTCTGATATATAGGCTATAGTATATATATTTGATCAGTTTTAAATTATGAATTGATGTCTGTTCGGCCATTTGTTTTTCTCTCCCAGCCATAAATTAAAAATTCGTTGTGCTAGGCAAATCATATTTACTCAAATTGGCTTGTAACTTTAACAGCAAAATCACCTTATTTAATTGTTTCTCACAAACATCTCCCATCGTAACTTAGTTATATATTGTAAACTGTAAAGCTGATTGAAGCTAATGATTCTGATAAAAAATTGGTCATATAGTTTCTATGACTATATAGAGCTTAGAATGACTTCTATTACCCGTTAACTTCAAAAGTAAAATCAAAAGTATTTCAACTTTAGCTAAAAGATTTGAGCAATAGGACAACTATTCCAACAAATTTTAGTTACAGCTATATACTTACAAGAGTTGTGAAGCAATTTCAAAAATTTTCAAAGCTGCCAGTATTCATATTTCCGTAGAAATAAATTAAGTTATAGGGCCAACATTCATAATATATTACTAGCATCTATAAGAAATATTAACTCTTGATATCACAGAGTTGTGACGTGCAACTTTATTTTTTTATTGTTGTTTTCTAATTTTGTAATGGTAACGTACTTGTTTTTTTTTTATGTACTAAATTTAAGAGTCAATATAATTTTTATTAATAGTTGAAAAACTAAAAACAATGTTAGTGGCAACTCTTGTTGCGACACTACTACAATACTAGTTTTTTATTGCTTTATGCTCTTTTTTGTGTTGCAAAATTTGACAATTAATTTATTTTTGCGAATTGTTTTTCAAGTTTTCACTGTCCTTTTTTTTTTTATTATTGTTATGGTTTTTGCTTTTTTGTTTTCTCTTTTGTTTTTCTTCATTTTTAGTTTACATTTTACATGTGTATAGAATGCTCTTTTTTTTTCTCTCGTGTTTTTGTTTTCAGTTTCCTCCTCGGTTTTTTTTTTACATTTTTTGTTTATTATTTTGTTAACATGAGTTCTTCGTATGCAATAAATAAAAAGAAAAACAAAAATAAGAACAAAAGTGAAAAATAAAACGAAATTCTGCACTGAATAAGCGATTGAAGAGCTTTTAACCTAATTTTCAGAGTTATGAAAAGTGTTCTCGGATTTTTTTTTTGTTTTTTGTTTAGGAAAGAAATGCGTAGAAAAGTTTGTTTTTTATTCTTTAGAAATTAATAAATAGAATAAATTCTAGCGCTTTTCTCATTTTCTTTTTGTTTTGTCTTTCTTTGAAAAGTTACCTTTTAAAAACTTACTAAATATACATATTATATTTTACTGTATTAACTGTTATACAAAAAAAAAATATATTGGAAAATAAAATTAAGTCCACATAGAATAAAGTTTTTTTATTTTTTATTTTAATATTATGCAAATGATTTTTAAAACTATTCGTTTATTGTATATATATTTTCATTATATTGCTGTCATGAGATATTTACATATATAAGAAGGAAAAAGGGTTATCCATGGATAAGAGTATTTGCTCTTTAAATATCGTATGATTATTGATTGTTATTATGATATCATATAATTTTTATTAAATTATTGTGAATGTTGACATCTTTAAATTGTAATTGACATAATATGTATAAGGCAGGGATGCTGTGAATTGAATATTATTTAAATTATTTGAGTTATTCAATTGAATTAAGAATTTTATTTTATATTTTTTCTATTTTTAAATGACTGGGCTAGGAGCAAGAACAAAATTAGTGAGAATTTAAAATTAATTCTCATAATGTTACTTTTAATTGAGAATAAGAATCATTTTTCGTTTATGATGATTATATCTCCAGCTCTTCGTGTTCTCTTTTAAAAAAAAATGAGAGATTATAAGTTCAATTCGGTTATTATTATTTGTTTAAAAAAATTACATATCTATATGAAAAAAAAACGTGACTTCGGATGTGAAACTGATTGAAAAAGTCAATTTATTGATTATTTCTCTGTAAACGTAATTATTACAAAGTAATTAAGAGAAGAAAACAAATATAATAATCAATGAGATAGAGAAATTATATTACATATATACGATATAATATACGATATACTTATATACCATATATCGTATATTTATTTAAGGTGCTTACATAAAATAGCAAATATGGTAAATGTTCTAATAAAAACAAATATTCGATTTTATGATATTTTTCTTCTTGCATCTATAATGAATTACTTATTTTTCCTTATAGTAGTTAAAAAAACATATAACAGTAAAAAAAACACCTAACCTCAAAATAAATAAATTCGGCAAAAAAATTAATTTTATTCGAAAAGCTTAAAAATGGCGTGAATTACAGCAATAAGAAAAGGCTATAATACTCAAAGCATCCCTAAAAGTATGCAAATAAATAAAAAATAATTCAAACATATCATATGGGGTAAATTATACAGGGGGAATAATAAATTTTAAGTACTTTAAAAAAATTTTATGATAAAAAATAAATATTTATTTTTTTTTTTTCGTATCGTCATCCATTCTAATATTTTTTTTTTTATGATGATTAGTACAATTTTTATGATATTTTAGGTGCGTATTAAATATTTTATAAAAATGTCAAACCTTGTATTTTTCTCTAAAATCAATACATATAATTGTTATAGGCATATATATTTTAAAATTTTAAGGTTTTGTAAAACACATACATACCTACTTCGAATTCGCATTCTTATATTATTTTGTCTCCATATATGTACATACATATATTAAAAGAATATTTTCATAGGATTTATTAAAGTGTTTAAGTATTGTTTAATATTTCAGTGATTTAACTGTTTTATTATTAAATAAATATTTAATTACGAATATATGCGGTCATTTATTTAGTTTATTTAAGTATATGAAATGCAAACATATTACTACATATATATTCATATGTAATGCAATAACAGGGCCGTATTCAAGAAACGAAATTATTGACAAGAGACCACTTGACAGACAGCAACAACATAATTAATAGTTATTTTTATGATTTTTTTATTTTTTGAAGTTACTAAACTTCAAGTTTAATTTCCCTCTCTTTAATTTCAAATACAAACTTGCATTCAGTTTTCTGCATTATACTCTCGTGTTCTCTTAATATGTCCAGGGTCGCAATACTTTGGTTATTTCCTGTTATAAAGTCTTTAACATTATAATAATAAGGTTAGTCATTTCAATTCTTCTCTTTAAGAAATTTTATGATATATTTTTGATAATGGTTTTATAATTTTTTATAGCAATAAAATTATTTTTAAAATTTTATTATATCGGCATGAATTAAAAGATAAGAAAAAATCAAAATAAGAAAAAAAAAACATTTATTTGACAATAAAGTTATTGAAATTTTTTTGGAATTTTCAAATTCCCATATCGAATTCATTTAGTCTTCTATCTTCTTAAAAGCCGCTTTTTTTCAATTAAATAATAAAGGAGATATACATCGTATATAATATAGAATAGGGAAATAATATGAAGAACGACATCTATTTGTCATGTGTGGAGGTGTTAAAATAATCAAATATTTATTGTTATATTTATTTTATTTTTTTGTAATTTTTATTTTTCTTTGATTAGGGACTATAAATTCAACATACACACACATATATATTTAATATATATAATAAAATATATATCTCATAGTTGTTATAGATTGTTATTGTATTCTCAAAAAATATTTTTTTTTTTTTTATAAATATTTAAATATCGTAAAAAATTTTATTTTTATTATTTTCTCTTTTATTTTTATTTTTTCTCTATTTTGCCTTTTTTTCACCCCTTTTTTCCATTTCATATTTTTTTTCTTCTTCTCTTCTTTTCTCTTCTCTTTTGATATGTTTGTAAGGAAAATTGTTTCCAATAACGTTTAATATTTAGAGAAACTATTTAAAAAACGAAAAGAAAAATGAAACAAAAAAGAAAAGCAAAAGAAACAAGAAAAGAATGAACTTGGTGTAGTGTTGGGTATAAAGTCTTTTTTTTTTCAGCAAAATAATAAAAAGCAAAAATCATTCAAATAAATAATAAAAATCTGTACAACATGTAAATTTTCTGTTTGTTTATTGTAAAAAAGAAAAATATAGAAAAAAATTTTTTTCAGTTCCATTGAAACTTTCGAGCGTGATGAACACAAAATAAATTTTAAAGAGAGCAAAAAAAATTAAAAGAAAAAAATTAAATAATAAAAATAATTTCGAGGTATAAAAATATTATAGCCGATTAAATTAAAATAAAATAATTTTAAAAATAATAAAAATTATTTATTAATATTAAAAAAAAAATTTAAATATTACAAATCCTCGAATAATAATAATAATGTTAAAATTAATAAAAATTAATATTTAATTTAATAAATACATATTAGAATTTATTAATAAAATATTTTACAGTTAAAAAAACATAAAAAAAAAATAGTACCAAAATATTTTTCTCTTTATTTGTTTTTATTTATTTTCACTGTTTTTTTTTGTCTGTTATTATTTTATTAATTATTATATTTTGTAGCGTAACGTGTAACAAGTAGAATAAATGTAATTGGTACTTAGTAGTATAACATATGGTGTATATATACATAAATATGCAATGCATAAATACACGCACACAATTACATTACCTGTTATATTTATTATTTATATATACAGTAGAATTAATTTATAAAAAAATTAATTAAGAAAATAAAATTTTTATTTAAATTATAATTGTAAAAATTGTGTATATGATAAAATTGAAATTTTTTTTTTTAATTTTTTATATTTTAATTTTAATTGTTTTCGTAAATTAAATGTATAAAATTTTTTTAATTATTATTATATTTGTATATATATATGTATGTATGTATGTGTTATATATTGAGTGAAATTTTTAATATTATATTATGTATGTTGCCCAATTTAATTTTAAATTTTTTACCTTTTTATTTCTGTATAAATGTATACATACTATGCGAATAATGTAATCAATTACATCGTTTTTAATTGAATTTCCGAATACAGTAGACTCTCGATATATATATGCCCAATTATAAGATCCAATAGGTTATATAAAATATATGTTATTTTTTATTTATTTAAATTTTCGTTTTCAAATAACTTCCTAATAATTATTCTACATAATATGTTGATGTCGTTTTTAGTATCCAATTAAAAATTAGAATTTCAAAATGAATTTATTTATTATAACAATTAATCCTATATATGTATATATAAATATATATGTAAAATATTTTCATTAAAAAGAAATATTCTAATGAAATGGTATATAGATAATTGCTTATGTTTATTATAGGTTTTAATATTATGTATTTAGGACATTTATTTTTACGTAAATTTTATATATAAAAATAGTTTACCTTTTTTTTTTATATATGTATATGACATTATGGCCATTTATATGGCCATATAATGTCGTATATGTATATATATGTGTATAAATAAACAATCTAATAAATATTTTTCTTAATGTCTTAAAGACATGGGTGAGATTTTATTTGACTATTTTAAAAAAATTAAATGATAAAGAAACAAAATTTTTATTTCAATATTTATAATATAAATATTCTTATAATGAGTATATATATATACTTAATATATATATATATATATATATAAATAAAATCATTTTAAAGGCAAATTACCATGCTAAATTGTACAAGAAAATTTGTTTTTTTTGTTTCAATAATTTAGGAAAATCTATTTTTAAAATATTTATATATATATATATATACATTAAGGATGAGTATAATATGTATTTAAATTTTATTGAAAACATTTCTCATACTATTATTGAATAGGTACGATATAATTTGGGCATTAAAAGTGAAAAAATTGATTAAACCAAATTTATTTTTTAAATATTTTGAGTTTTATATTTTAAATATGAATTTCTTATAATTCACATTCTGTCAAAAAATACCTGATTTAAAATGGTTAATGAATAAAAAATTCAAAAACTTTAAAATTTTTCCATAAGTTTAATTTTCTAAATCTAAGATGCTGTATATGTATATATTTTAGTACAGAGGCTATGAAGAGAAATTAAGAAAGTTATAATTTTTATTTTTTGATTGAAAATTAAATTTGAACTTAAAATTCAATTTTTTTGAAACATGTTTTCCTTGATTTAGTTTGGTTTTGTTTACAGAATTTTCTTTATCTTAAAAATAAAATAGATAATATTTATTTTTTAACACCTAACAATTCTAAAAAAATAATTAAATTATAAATGTTTTTTTAAGGTAATAAACTTTCCTATCTGGAAAACAATAAAAGTTATTTTTAGAAAAGACATTCGATTATGGGCTAGAATTGCCATCAGAGCTAATTTACGGGATAAAATAATAGTATACAGCGAGTCGAAATAATTGTAGAAGAATATTTAAAAATAATAACAATGTTTTTTTTTTAATTGGGATTTTTTTTTCTTCCAAAAATTTGTTGAACATGTGAAAACTACAAGAATGTTCATAATATTTTAGTCGTACTGTATTTACACACACATACGCAGGTCTTTATGTTTGCATTCTTAAATATTATTAAATTTAAATATTTTAGTTCTTTTTTTTTCTTTTTTCAAATTATTTTCACCTATGATAAATTTTTATTTTAATTTTAAATTTGTAATTTTCGCTATCAATAATGTAAAAATTCAAATGCAATGAATAATTTAATTTCTCTACATGTTTACATTTTCAAAATGTTATGACTCCGGGGTGATAATGCAAATTTAATATGTAAATGCATAAATTACTTATAATTATGTTATATAATATGTACATAATTATATATGCATGTAAATGTTAAGGTATAAATAAAACTTTGTTTACAAAATGATTTTATACAGTACAACCAATTTATATTTAAAAATACTCTTACAACATATTTAATTTTCTTACCGGCTGTTCTGTTTACAAATAAGAGAGGTATTGTGATTCTTGTAATTGCTTGAAATAATTTTATTGAGATTTTCTGGCTATGATCCCACTAAAGTATGCAAGTGAAGTAAGATTGAATTTTTATGTAGATCATTTAACAGTAGTCGAACTTTTATTACCATAATGTATGAGGCAATGATCAACGTATAAAAGTTCTTGAAATTTTTATGTTTCTGTTTTATTTTTTATTAAAAGTACCTTTTAATGTACGCGACAAATAGATTTTATATATACTTGAATCAGTGAAAAAATTAAGAACAGTAATAACTTAATAAACGTCCTAATAATTTTTAATGTCATGACTATATGTTATACATACTGTTAAAAATAACCGTTAAATTACCTTGCTAAAAGAAAACGGAAAAGAACTTCTATAAACGTTAATTGAGATTATTAAGTCAAAGTGGCCATTGGCGTGCAAGGGGTTAATTTATTTCTTTAATTATCTGTTTGTCATTTTAATTGACAAACAGATGTACTCCTGTATTATATAAAATAATATTTTTAATGTTAATTTATTTTTTTAGGTTTTATTTAAAAATTTTTACATTCATAATTACATAAAATAATTTTAATTGTTGATACAGTATTATGTAATTATTGTTGATTAATGAAAATGCATACGAGTTGCTGTTCTTGTGAACATACATAACGTATGTTGTATATTGTATAATTTGTTTTTTAAAGAATAGTTATGTATTTATGAATAAATTATATAATATGTATGTATATACAAATATATTCATATGAATACAAAGATAAGTTATCTTTATAGATCACAAAAATTCTTTTGCGTGCATGAAATGCTATTATCCTAAAAATAAATGCAATTTATATATTGTTTTCCGTATTAGAACATAATTATTATGATAATATAAGTACATACATAAAATATACATACAAATTGATACTTGTGTTCTATTTAGGGTCTTATAATATTCTATACTATTTTGGGAATAGATACAGCCATACAAGAGTAGTATGCAAATGGAATATTATCGGAATGTTGAGTGTAGTATGAAATGGATATATAAACAGTGTTGAGATTAGTATGTAAATGAAACATTATCGGAATGTTTCATTTACATATACGAGTATTTCTCAATTTTCGGAATGTGAAACCATTTATCGGAACGTAATGTAACTCTCCTCTGTTCAATTTATTACAGTCTTGTATATTAGAGAGTGTTTATACGATTGAGAGTGTTTTATACATTTGGGATGTTATTCATTTAGAGCGTTATATACCTTTAAAAGGAACGCAACAGATTATATTAAACATAATAATTGTTGATTATACTCGTATGTGTACATGCATATTTTATTTAATGGAGGTAGATTTTGTTAATAAAATATAAATATTGTAAAAGAGGTGTTGATAAGTTGTTGAAAATTTTAAGGAAAGGTGTTTACTGTTGTATATAAATCGTATTTTGTTATATATGAGTCATAATTGTTGCATTGTAATTTTGATATTGTAAAATATGCCTCTTTCTTAAATACGAAGAAGAAAATAAAATAATTGTATATAATTTTAGTAATTGTCATAAACAACATTTACGATACAATTGTGTAATAAGTAAATAAATTGGATTAGCCGTTATTGCTTCATATTTTTTTATTCCGGAATATTTTTTGAACCTTATTTTATTTACTTCATAATTTTTTTGCCACCTAAATCACTTTAATTTAATTTAGATTCTTTTTTTTTACTTGGATTTTTATCACCTTGGAAGGTGGCGAAAATTTCGTCAAAACATAACTAAACCTATTTATACTCGTATTTTTGTATTGAAATATTTTTAGAATACTAAGTATATAAAATATAATCAGTGTTATTTTTGAATTGAAAAATAAAAAAAAATAAAAAATAGGTAGGTTTCTTGAATAATTGAATTCTTATATCTTCTAAAATAATAAAAAAAAAGCAGTACAATAACCTTTTCTTGACATTGAAATATTATATGTATGTATGTGCGATAAACAAAATTAGGTAACATGATTGTTGACAAACACAAGTTGTGTGCTTCTTTTTTTGTACGAAAAAAATCACTATGGTGGGTATGTTCCGGAATGTATTTTGTAAATGAAATGAATTTGAAAATTATGATTACCAAATGTTTTAAAATGAATGAACTCAATAAAATTTTTTGCGGCCTTATTTCATTTCATCGCTGTGTGGGCCGATTCATGTTGCAGCTAACTCATGATCACTTATTTAGATTTGTTTGCAGTTTCTCCATGTCGCTTTTTCGTATAAGCCAGGTCT